ATGCTTCTTATGTACAGTAGTCATTCTAGATAGCTTAACTTCACTGACAGTACTCCTCTTTGCTCCTGAACGTCCATTTTTATATTCATTTGGCTTTAAAAACACAAAATCAGCTGAGCAGGACTTTGACAAGCAGAGCGCCTGCAAATAAAGATAGGATGCTTTTCAGTCTCTAAGTCAAGTTGAGCTAAGCTAGGTGGGAGCATGATAAACCTTATCATTTTAACACACATAAAGCTGCTGAACTGGCAAGTCATTCAGGATAAATAAGCATTTTTAAACCGTGTAAACTAAAAAAAATAAAAAATGAATCAATTTATCACTTCATAACAACTCTAAAGTGGTGAGTTATGAATATTTTTATAACAGCATTTTAAAAGGTAGTTAGCCTACCAACACAAGTGGCTGCTAGCATTAGCTGTCTACTAGCCTTCCCCTATGCTTTTTCAAATAATTAAACAGTAAAATAGTATTTTAAAAAAAACAAAAACAAAATGAAATTCTATTTTTTAAAAATTTTCTTTTAGTATTTTAGTGTTATGTTACTTAACACCAATGTGCTCTCCAAGTTACCCAAGATTGCCAGCGTTAGCTGATAAATTAGCATGTCACCCTCTGTTCAAAATGTGCCAAATAAAAAACCCATCATGGCAGCAGATGACATGCTAAAATTGAGGCTTCAAACCAGGGCTTCACAAAGCTGTCTACATCTTTCACATCACATAAGTGTCTGTGGCATCAATCTAACTCTTAGTAAGAAAGCAAATATTCATTTTTCCGAAAATGCCAAACTTCTCTTTTAACAAACTTCATTTAAGAAAAATAAAGAGGGAAAAAAAAATACAGTGATTGACCATCAGGATTGACTACAAAGTACAACACAAAAGACTAAAAGGCTATTTTGCTTTCTGTCTCCAAACCTTCAAGAGGTGCTGACTTTCTTTTCTCCATCAGGATGCTACAATCAATGGCAGTAAAGATATTTCTTCAGCTTGAAAATGCAAGGCACAACAAGATTTTATTTTTTATTTTTTAATGGATAAGGTATGCAATTACGCTTTCACAGTAAACACAAAGTATATATTATTTTTATTTTGACTTTTATTTTAAAACAACCCCTTCAAATAAATGCTGTTTTGGGGAACCTAATGGGAGGACTCGTTGCCACTTGCCCTGCAGATTGCACAAGCAGAAACAACCACACCACACTGACAACCTCATAGACACCTGTGTGAATCATGCCTTAGGCATAAATACTAAAGTTTATGAAAAGTAAATGCTTGAGATAGCATCGGCACCAGGCCAATCACAGTGAGTAATGAGGTGGGTGCCGTTATCTTATGGCCCCCGAGTTCGTTTGACCTCAGCAGCGATGAGATAAGTATTTTGAAGCTGAATGATTTGAAAAACAATTACTTAAACGTCATTGATTATTAATCAATAAACAGTGGCAATCACGGTAATGGTGCAGAATTTTATAACACCTATAAAACCACACGTAACATTATTCTGAGAAAATGAATGATTGACTTACGGAGTCGTTTATGATACATCACCACAGCTTTGAAAAATGTAATGCAATAAACTCTGAAGTATTGGCAATGGTAACATAATATATGGCACTGTTCATGTTGAGCTAACTGACAGTCAAGAAAACATTTTTCTTTTTAAAGTTAAATTCACTCTACTGAGGCTGACAAATGAACATTGTATCTCAAATAATAAGATTCATAGACAAACATGATTAAATACATTAAGACCACACTTCTTTAGACTATACATTTCAATAATCTTCAAATATTGGTCCAATTTGGATTGGCAAAACAATGAATTACATATTATTGCAAAAAATGTAAACATCCCTCTGATGTATCACAACAATGTCCTCACAAATCTAGCAAAAACGGCAGCTACAAGTTGGTCTTTTTTTTTTCCTTTATAAATAGGAGAGTTAACGTGTTTTTGTCAAAGAACAAAATCAAAAACAACAAGCAACTTTTATGTAAAGTTAGCAAGCTAAGTTACACTTATTTTACTACAATGAAAGCTGATTAACTGCTTTGTCAATCATTTGAGAGTTTCACAGTTTCAGGTTTAATGTTTGTAGTTTTAAATGGATTGTTAAAAAAAATGATAGATAACATTTGTTGTTGTAAAATCCTTTTGATCACTTAAAATAAAACATTAGTAGCAGATTTTTTTATATTGGTAGCCATCTTTTAACTAATTATCTGAAGATTTTAAATAAGTAATTAGGGCAAAAATATTTTTATAAAAAAACAAAACAAAAAAACTTGCTGGTTACATATTATCAAATTTTAGAAAATCTGAACATTTACTACTTTATCTTGAAAGTAACAGTAGTACAACAATATTTGAGCAATAATTCAAAATTTTACATCTATAATGGTTCACACAAGTTTTTATTTCTGTTTTGTTTTTCTATTTGAGGAAAATATCTGAAGTGGGAATTGAAATATGATAATATATAGTTTCAGGGAACAGAAGAATTTAGGTTTTAGGTTTCAGCTTCACGTAAGCACATAAGAGTCCTTACAAATTTTTAAGATACTAATATCCAATACTGCGATATAAACATTTATTTTGTTTTCTCTCTTTCAGGCACATTAAACAAAAAGAATTACCCAGCATTTTTTTTTCTTGTTATTTATTTATGACTTTACACTCTGGCCAACTCTGCTTGGATCAGCTGGTTGTTTTGTCGCTGTTGAGTGCCCTCTGTTGGACAAACCATGCAACATCAACAGCATGGTTAAAGGGTGTTTTTTTTTTTGTCTCTTCTCTACCTTTTTAATTTTTATTTATTGAAAATTATAAACCCTAACACTAATATATCAGCAAACAGCTAATATCGTCCGATAACATCTGCACACCAATAAATTGGTTGGGCTCTGTTTATTCTTAACACATTTTAAAAGGTTGTTTCCACTCAGCGTGAATACTTCAATTCATGCACAGATGTTAAAAAATACATTTTTGTCTCATTTAATGGAAATGCTTAGAAAAATGTGTGAAAAAAAAAAAAAAAAAAAAAAAGACCAACTTCAGCTTAATGCCACAATACATCTGCATTTGAAGGCCCGCACATGTGTAAACATAGAACATCTGGCCTTCCTTTATAGGCTGAAAACATCACCCTGATGTGAACGCTCATTTAAAAAAAAAAAAAAAAAAGCAGAACAAAGAAAGAGAGATCCGTGTGCTTCCATTAACTCTCCCCATACCAGACAGTTAATCAGAAAACAATCTCGATTACATGAAATATTGGTCAAATAAAATATTCAATTAAATGGTATGTGACATTTCTACAGCTCTGAGAAAACAAAGCAAAACAAAAAAATCTCAGGAGAACACAACAATGCTACTTCTATCAACGATATGATAAGGATCTGACATCACTTTTTTTTTTTCATGTAGCTTACATGGGCTACTGTCAGTATGTACAAGTAGCAGCATAAAAACCACCCTAACAGTGATTATCAGACCACAAGATTACCATTCTTATATGCCCCTTCGAAATGGCTGTCGATGTGGATGAGGTGGAATGTGCAGATTTTATTATTTTAGCTTGTGTTATCCTTAAAAAGCAGGATTTTCTTTTTTCCTTTTTGTCTTCTGACTGTTCTCCTCTTATGCCTTTCTGTCCTATAGATTTCTACCAACCCAAATGGCACATTTGATTTTATTCATCGTACAGTTTGGAATTAAGTTTTGGCACTTAAAATATAAATACAGTCTTTCTTTTGTTTAAAATATAATTAAGCACAGTTATAACAGTAATACATCAGTGTCCAGTGGTAATCTGAGGTGAAACTTTGGTCTCCATATTACCAACTGGACTACAAAACGCTGGTCGTCACGTGGAAAACAAAACAAAACAAAAAAAGAGAGAGAGAATAAATTAAAGTGAAATAAATAAATAAATAAATAAATAAATAAATATCTGTTAATTGGTTGACAATTTCTCTCACAAAAATCTTCAGTGGATGATTTTGCAACAACCCTTTTCAAACAGAACATCCGTACCTGATAACTGACAACATTTTGTGTGAGGTTATAGCTTAATGCCACGATTTGAGGTTATCAGCGTCTCTGTCAAGAACATTTAAATAAACTATCTACATTATTATCTCCGGGAAATGTTTGAACCCCTGTTTTTGGTAAAAGGACACAACCTGTGGCTCCAGTGGCGCGGGAGTGGTGACAAAGAGCGTTTCAGCGGCCCAGGGTCAAAAGTGCAACGTGACAAGCGTGAACCTCCTGCAGGTTTGAGATGATAAGCAGGAGGTGTGATCAGAGTTGATATGCTACTTTTTCAATTGCTGCATGTTGACAGGAGGGAGCTAAAGCTCATTTAATGCATGTGTGCTACTTTCACCATCATTTAGTTTAGTATATTTCTTCAAATATCACATTCTCTTCGATTTGTTTAAGCCATCTCTTTTTTTAAGCTAGGACTGAACTAAATAACTCCTTAAAAAAGGAAAAAAAAAAAAAGATGAAATACAATTCCATAGGATTGTGTGCAAAATGCTCTATAGGCATACAGTAACAAATAATGGTCTCTTCTACTAGCCACAACATTAGATTTAAGTGCTTTTGATGAGGTATGAACATTGACCAGTATCTGGGAGGAACCATTACCATCCTTCATGCTAACAACATAATTTCGGAGATGAGGTTTATAACTCTGACACTCAAGTGTTTGGCAAACTATATGATAGGAGCAACAACATTTATGAGTGTGGATGGTTTTAAAAGATTTGCACTAAAACATTATGGCAACGACTGCTTCTACGTATAACTCTCTGCTAAACTCTCGGCCAAACTAAGCCAAAAGTCAAATATACATATATTTTACATACACATATGTGACTTTATGGTTAGATATAATAATATTCAAATATCCAGCAATTATCTGCAACAAAAAAAAAATGCAGATTTCTCCAGAGAGCTTTACACCAAATATCTGACAACACAAAATAAAATGGCAAATTCTCCTCAGAGATTTCTCTTTTGCTTGTATATGCACAGTTAGGTTTCAGTAAGTTTCTAATTAGGTACCTGTACTGTACTGATCAGCCCGACAGTTGAATGGATGGATGACAGTGAAGGGTCCAGTGTGCTAAGATGAGGATAAGCCTTCATCTGTCTTCATTGCTCCTTTTCAGTTCGAACACCATTTACAGAGGCAGGTCTGTGCTGTTGTGGCGAGTCTTTCTGGAAGTCCCATCATCCCTGGGCAGAGCTTTCTGCAGGTTGGACATGGCAGCGGTCTTCTTTAGGTCAATGACTGCGTAGCATTCGCTGCGCCGGGGTGCCTGCGGACCACATTTTTTGGGTGGTAGGCGCTGGTGCTGTGGCTGGGTCTGGGCACCCCCGCTGCTGAGGGCTTGGCAGGGAGGCTCTCCTTCCAGGTCCACCTGGATGTAATTCAGCTGCCGCGAAGGAGGCATGTGGCTGTGCTCACAACCTCCAACCCCTGACCTCGATCGTCTGCGGAAATCAAAGCTAAATATTCGCCCCCCTCTGTCTGGGTGACACGGCCGTGGATGCGGCGGGCAGGCGTGTCGAAGCCGGGGAGGCTGGACCTGCTCTGTGTTGACATAGTTCTGCAGGGCGTCTCTGTGTATGCCCCGGCCGTCTTGATGGTAACCATTGGGTGTCCCGGGGCCTTCTGAGAATTCGTACTCATCAAAATCTTCCTCTTCTTCTTCATATTCCTCATCATCCTGGTCATCGTCTTCCTCTTCCTGCTCATCATCCCGCTGGAGAGCGCTGTACTCCCACACCGGCGGCAGAGAGGGTAAGTTCTCGTAGTTAAGCAGAGCTGTCCGACGATGAGCTCCACCCATGCCCCTCTCACAGGAGTACCCCTGCGGGGGTAGCGATGTCGGCCCGTGACCGTGTAAGAGGGAGTGAGAATGACTGTCCCCGGTGCTGCTACTGCTGCTTGAACCTACGGATTGCGACACGCTGCTGGGACTCAGACGCTGCTTACGGCCACTTCGCAGGCCGTTGATATTCTCGTACGTGAGCTCGCCACTCTGGCAGCCCTCCTGGTGCTCATGGCCCAGGTGCCGGTGCATGTGATGATGGAAATGGTGGTAGGAGTGAGAGTTGCACAGGTGCATAGAGGGCTCGTCTCCTTCCGTCTCTGAGCTTGCTGCGCCCTCTACTGGCTGAAGGTTGTGAGGATTGTGCCCGTGCCTCTCCCTCTCTCTCTCTCTCTCCAGCAGATGCCGTTGCGCTGGAGTGGGACCCAGCATGAATTTGACCTCCTGCGAGGACGTCTGTAGGAACACCTGAGGATCTTTATGCTCCTCGAGGGGACAGCACCGCAGGTTGGACTGCGGATTTCCTTGGCCCCCTACAGGCATGGCTCCCCGTGTTGTTTCAGGAAAAGTGCTAGGCCGTACCTCAGGTAGAGAGTGCACACAATGACGCATGGAAAGATCCCCCTCCATGCTCACAGTATTTACATAGGTGTGGGTCTGTAAGAGAAAATAAAGACTTTGTTACATTGGCGAAACATCACAGCTAAAGTCCAGTTAAAAGCGCACTCAGAGGTCTCACCTGGTCTTCCAAACCCATGAGGCTATGTCCATGATCATCAGCAATCGATGGTTGAGAGGAATCTCCTCTGATTGGATAACCAGGGTATCCATTGGGAAAAGCCTGGATAGGAAATGCTGGAGCTGGTACAGGTAAAGAAAAATAAATAAATAAATCAAGTGAGGCTGTCACGTAAAGTATTAAATGTTAAAGTGTTATTTAAAATCCTTTTTGCAGTAAATCAGTGGATACATAAAAAATAAAAAATTAATTTTAAAAAAAACATTAAAAAGGGATTATATCAACAAGAATAACAAATCACCAAAGAAGAAGGAACTTCACCAAAGCAAACCTTTTAAGACCAGCAGCACTTTCACAATCAAAAATAAAATATGACAATGTTTTGATTTTTCATGTTTTGTTTTTTTTTGTTTTATCCTCCAGCCAAAGAGGATAACAGTGATATCCATTTTTAGGACCATTTGAAGTGCTTGAAGGAATGCTTGAAGTGCATTTACAGAGGTTCAGTTAGCTGACATGGTAGCGTCTTTTCCTAATACAGTAATGTAAATGTAATAATGAAAGCAAGTCTTTCTGGCTGTGTTACGCTTCAAAGTGTGAAATGAGATGAGATGTCACTACGCATTTGTTGGTTAAACCTGAAGCAATTGATGTTGTCGCCACTTGGGGGCAGTAGAAACTATTTTACCTTCAAATAGTGAACCTGTTGCCAAACTGTTGTCTTCTTTAACACATGCAACCATTAATGAGCAACATGACTGCTCAACACTGACTCTCTTCTGGCTCTGTTTTGGTGTTCACTGATTTTGAATGGAAATCTTGGGCTCTTTAACCTAAAGGCTCCTCAGTAAGCGTTCCACTTTGCTATTAGGTCCTGGACAGGCTACCTGCCTCTCACTAAAGTAGCAGAGACTGTAAACAAATATGACAAAACTGGGGCAAACTTCATAACCTGAAAGGCGTCTCATAAAACTCCTAATGGGGAAAAGAGGCTAATTTGTTTTTCTCCAGAAACTGACAACTTTTCTTCAATTATGAGTTCAAGATTAAGCATTTCAAGAATGAAAAGGTCTAATATGTCATTTAGAAGAATGTGACATGGAAACCTCCATTTCTCACACACTGATTAGGCATTTAACTTATCAGGCAGCCGTTTCATCTCATTTTGATGCCAGGAACTGTTTAAACAGTGGCAACCAAAGACTCAAAGAAACCGTTTAATAGGTTAACTGGCAACAGCTCGGTAGCATGACTTGGTATAAAAAGAGTTTCCTAAAGAGGCTGAGTCATTCAGAAGTAAAGATGGTGATAGACTCATCACTCTGAGAAAGTGTGTGGGAAAATAGTTCATCAGCTTAAGAAAAACACTCCAAAATAAAGTTGCAAAGCCTTTTTTGTACAAGTTCTGCTAAATTTAGCGACGGATTACTGCATCTAACATCTGCAATTAGTCTCAAAGTGCATCCTTTTGTTTGTGTGCGCGTTTGGTGTTGTGTGACTCACTGTTGGGTGTCTGTGGTGTGCGAGACATGTCCATCTCTGGTGTGTGACCGCTCCGACTCATCATCATCGACTCTTCCACCACGTTGATGCTGTTGCACTGCATCAGCTCCTGGAGCAGATTAAAGATCTCTTCTGCCCGAGAACACTTGAATGCAAAGATTCCTATTTTTAAAAAAAAAAAACAACAAAAAAAAACCCAGAGCACAATGACAACACGTTTAGGACGTACAAAGGTCTCTTCTTACTTGAAAGAGACATCGGCCATATTACAGAGGTGGTCGGTTCCTTTTTTCTCGATCACTGAGAGAGAAGTCTGGTTTGTTTTGGGACTTGAACAACTGCATTAATGTCAGGTTCAGTGCCTCAGGTGGAAATGGCCACAGAGGTTCTGTATATGGATTTGTTTAACTTCCTCACTGAGAATGTTTGTTCACATATGAAGGTAGATCCAAAGAGAGCCAACATCTTCTGAGCATGTTTCATCATGTGGGTAAACTTCTCCTCTTTGAGAGGAGAATAAAAAAAAAATCCAGCAGGGACTTGAAGTGCTCGGCCAGCAGTGAAGCCAAAGTCCGACCAAGTTAATTATTTTAGTTACATCAACTACAGTTAATATTTAGCACCGACTTACATGACACCACATGATTTGTGGTGCAATGCAAAAATACCAGTTTCACTTCTGGATTAATTTCGGTCACTTCATCTATCACTTGCTTCAAAAGACTGACATTTTTTTCCTGTCGGGTGGACATCGACGGATAGCCGTCGGTTAACAGTTTATGTCCCATTTGAGTTCCTGTGTCGCAGATCATCACAGCTCTTGTCCAGAGCTGAGGAGAAAAAGTCAAAACTCCCTGCTTTGTTTTTCACCTGAAGCTCCAGATTTTCTTCAAACTAATTCTTGAACACAGTAATCTGCTCTCCACAAATGTAAGCACGCAAGCTCACCTCTGACTGCCTTTAAAATAAGAGTTGTACTTAATTTCACAAACACCCCCCCCCACACACACACACACCAAGTCATCCTTTGATGAGTGTTCAATGAATTGGAGCAGATTGCATGACTTACATTTGAATCCTTTCAAATTACCCAAAGTGGCCCACACCTAAAGATACTACAAGGACAACCTAGGTTAGTACAAAAAGACGCACAAAACAACAACAGCTCCCACAGCGACTCTACAGGTGTGTAACCAAAGCAGAAAATCAGAGAAAATGTTACTCACCCTGCCCGGTCTGACAGCGGCGGCCGCTCTCAAAAGAAAACAGGTTGGAGTCATAGCCGTAGCGACGCAGGCAGAGATATGGCCACCGGATGGCGTCCCTCTTACGTGTGTGAAGAATGAGCTCAGTTTGGGTGAGCTCCATGATCCCAGAGCCCAGCTCGTTGCCCTCATCGTCTACATTTGTGACCTAGCAGAGGCGGAAACAGCATGACGTGAAGTGAAGGGGAAGGCACGTCAGTTTACTACAGTTTAAATGGACACAAATGGACAGTTGTTATGTAAGGAGGGGAAAAAAAAAAACATATACAAGATTTTGGGGGATTCCTGACCTTAAATTTGGTGAGATGGTTGTCTCGGATGGGGTCTCTGTATAGACAGCTCCAACAGCTCCCCATAGCTTCAGCAGGCCAGCTGAAACCTGTCACGGATGAAGCAAACACTATCACACACAGCGCTCATATAAAAATAAATAAACAAACACTGAATGACTTACTCAGTCCAGGCCATCAGTGTAAAGGGATCTGCGTCTCAGTCCCAGGATCTTCTGCTGGGCATTGGCATCACAAGCCAGTTAGTCTGCTGGATTGACATCTTCCAAAGAGGATTAATGTTCTTCCCCCTGAAACCATGAGGGACGGAGGAGTAGAAGAGTTGGAAATCATTGCAGGAACCTTGTCTTCAACCATATGGAAAGCATGAGTTTGGTCATTGTGAACATCCCAGAGTTTTAAAACTCTGAACCTGTTGCATGTCATCTCCTCCTCCGCACGTTTCCCATCACCTTTCAACTACATGCTGACAAATTTAATTACAAAAAGCAATAAATTCAGAAATTCATGTAGCTATTTTATAATCTTTGAGGACCAAAAACTGTAATAAGACTATTTATTCTTAAGGTTATTAAAAACAAAACAAAAAACATGACTGTTTAGAGATGACGGTGTAATGGCTGGATGTCAGTAGTGTTTCTAGATATATAATGGAGTAAATACCCTAATTAGTCAAATTATAGCCTAAGAATGCAACACAGTATCTTGCAGTTATATTTCTACTCATCATGCCAGCTTTCTAGTACCAAAGCATCCAATCAAATGCGGGAAATAGAGGAATTGAGGAAATAGACAGCTCCGGTAATGCCAATGTGGAAGTTTGGGATTTAAAGAAAAAAGGGGGGCGTTTAAAGGAAGTAAGTACACCAATGAATCGTTGCAATAATCCAAACAAACCCCGCAGAACACTTAAGAATACTACAGTCAGTCAAAGAAAAAAGTACAGGGAGTTCCTTGCACTGAAGTACATCCCAGATCACAAGCGAATAACGAGACCTCCTGCATGATCCCCTGCGTCCCCGTGCACGCATCTGCATCAGCTTTGTGGTTCCAGCTCAGTTTGTGCTCCTCAGAGGGGCCAAAAACACATTTCACATCAACACCGCCGCATTATGTGCGCTCTAACCTGGGCCTCCGCATCTGACTGGAAACACCAGGCTGGTTTTGCCTCCACACCAAATCCACGGCTACCTTGGAAGGGGGGGGTGAGTGCAAGCGGGCTAAAGAGCTAATAGCTACATCACACACACTTATCACACGGCCACTGAATGAATGGGTCTCCCTCCCACTGAGCTATTTACAGCCGAAAAATCACAGCCTCGTTGCTCAATTAGCCAAGCCGACGCAGAGCCCAAAACAAGCCGCCAGCGAGGCTGCCGCCTGCCCCGCAAACGCGATCGTGCAGCCACGAAAACAGCACAGTGACACCAAAAGCACAACGACACAGTTCAATGACCATCTGTTCTCGTTGGTGTGAGGATACAATAGCGAGAGCGCACAGCAATCACCGGGTAAGTGGAGAGCGACAAGCGATGGTTTGCTACTCACATGTCTGGCACGGATTTTTTCTTTTCTTTTTTTTTTTTAAATATCAGTCCTAATGCGAGGTGAGCATTGAGACTGCGGTTAGTTATCGGCGGCTGCTGCTGCTGCTGCTGGTGGTGTTGGTAGCGGGGATGTGGCACTTGCACCTCAGAGACGCGAATAAAAAAAGATGCAGTGAGAGCAGTGAAAATGTTATTTTTTCCTCCTATTACGCCCCCCTACTGCAGCACGGGCCTCTGCCTGTATGACATTTCCCAAGCAGCTGGGGTGAGAGTTCACAGCCAGACAACGAGGCTCAAAGCAGCGACAAGAAGGTAAGAAACGCTGGAGGACCACGGAGGGAAAGGTGTGCCTGCTTTGGCCGACGGAGAGGAGGGGCAAGGGAAAAAAGAGGGGGGGGAACCTTTTAAATGAGGGCCACGTAAGAAAAAAAACATAATTTAGTGTATCAAAGTTTTATTGTCATATGCAGAGTAAAGATATTTGTTTCCCTGTGCAATGACATTCTTCCTTTGCTGTGAAAAAATCCACTTAAAATGCATGAATAGGATAAATGATTATTTAAAAGCAATAGAAACAACTATAAAGAACTACAATGGGTACAATAGAAGAAATACAATAGAGATATAAGATGTTCAAAATATCTACAGATGAAATAGAAAGAATGTAAGCAGCAGAAGGCTGTGTACATATGTATACAATTTACAAATATATGTGTACTTAAAATTGTTGAAAGGGAGAGTCACACCTGTTTCTTCAAGTTGTTTTATTTAAGCATTTACAATCACAAAGGATGAAGTGCTGAAGTCTGCTTTAATTAAAAAAAAAAAAAAGACAGGACGTCTAAGCGAGATGACAAAAAGGTAAAGAAACTACAAAGCACCACAGAGCAGAAGAATTTAGCAGCCTGGATGAATGTGAGAAGAAAGCATGTTTTCAAGGCATGACTGTTTCAGCTGCATGTGAGGAAAACTTTAATTTCTTTATAATCATCCATCAGACTTTTAAGACAATATATGAGGGAAAGTTGAAATATAAAACAATGAGACTGTAGCCATCAAAAATCATCAATGTGCAACTGATTTTGAGAATAAAGTCATAATTACGAGATTTAACTCGAAATTATTTTGACAATAAAGTTGAAACATGGAGATTGAAGTTGTCAGTTCAAGTCAGCTCCCATGGCTGCGATACAAAATGTCTTGTGTAGATGAGTTAGTGAAACAACTCGATCAGCTGGCTTATTGTATCTTGTAATACAACATCCTCTTTACTGCACAAGGTTGTAACCATCGAAACCTTGAATCTGTCCATTGGCAGCTATACTATATGGCAGGGGTCTCAAACTCCAGTCCTCGAGGGCCGCTGTCCTGCAACTTTTCCATGTGTCCCTGTTGCAACACACCTAGTAGGTCATTAGCAAGACTATAGAACAGGGGTCCCCAATCCCAGTCCACGAGGGCCGGTGTCCCTGCAGGTTTTAGATCTCACCCTGGGTCAACACACCTGAATCACATGATTAGTTCATTACCAGGCCTCTGGAGAACTTCAAGACATGTTGAGAAGGTAATTTATCATTTAAATCAGCTGTGATGGATCAAGGACACATCTAAAACCTGCAGGGACACCGGCCCACATGGACTGGGATTGGGGACCCCTGCTTTAAGTGGACAGAAACCAGATTTGGATATCTGTGGGTTTTTATTTCTTCTTCTATACCTAAAATGATGAGGGAGAATTTTCTATCCCTATTAGAAAACGTTGGGAAAGACTGTGACCATTGGACTTCACTACCATTGTCAGAGTTAATCTGATAAAGATGACTGTCCTCCCCAAATTCTTGTATCTTTTTCAACATGTCCCTATTCTTCTTACTAAAGCATTCTTCAATAAGTTAGAAAAGATTCTGTCACATTTCATGTGGGGTGGGAAACAAGCTAGAGTTTGTAAATCTATTCAATGACGGTGGTCTTCGCCTGCCCAATTTTAGACACTACTATTGGGCAGCTAACATACAAAAACTCTTACATTGGGTTCACAATGACCTCCCCGTACCGGCCCGGGTACAAATGGAAACAGCATCTAGCTGTTACTTACTATCATCAATACTCAGCTCCAGTGTTGGGCAAGTTACTTTGAAAAAGTAATTAATTATAGTTACTAGTTA